TCTGTGTATTTGTACTTTTACTTAAGTACATTTTTTGAGTACTTTCTCCACCACTGCATCTTACCCAGCGAGTGGGTGAAGTGCCAATTACATTTATAGAAACTCAACTTCAAAGAATAAATGTATTATTTGATGTGCAAACGAAACAATTAGACAATAAGGCAATGTAAAGAGAACTGATGCACAGTTTAAAAAGCTGGTCTCTGGCCCTCCTTATTATCAGGTGTGAGGTTAAGCTAAGACCAACAACATTTAGTAAGCAAGTACTGTGGAAATATAACGATAGATAATAGCTGTTTGTAATGGTCGAATGTTTACCCACAGCCTTTTTAGGACCTTTGCTGCAGTTAATGGCCACTGCCAAGCCTTGTTGGTTGTTTTTTTTTTTGGATTTACAAACTACACTAGCTTTGCCCTGCTGAGTATAGTCAGACGTGGCTCCTATAATAACCCGTCTCTTGCCTAAATCCCCTTGTTTGGGGTGGAGCTGTGAAACAGGTCCTACTTGTAATATAACTACTATTATGATCTTCCAAAAGAGGCCCTTTGCCACATCTGTTCTACCAAGACAATATAAAATATTTGTTGTATAGAAATATCTACAATTCAACCAACAAGGAAAATGTATTTGTTATTTTCCTTCAACAGAATCATAATTTGTTGTGTTTCTGTTCTCCCTCTCGAGTCGAATCATTGCTCCTTTTCTCCTTTGTTCTGGCCAGATGGGGCTGCAATGCGGGCAGGTGTTCAGACGGGAGACAGGATCATCAAGGTAACATGATTTAAAGAAACAGAAGATAAACCCCCAAGTGTGACAATGTCGGGGCTGTAAAGCGGGGGTATGCTGCCACCTGCTGGACACGAGGTGTCATCTGCTGCTCGCTTTCAGAGAATATTTCACTGTGGAACATTTCGGCTTGGCTTTGGATTTAATGTTTTTTTTTTGTTTTTTTTGTTTTTTTGTTTTATTTCTTTTTATCATTTCTAATCGTTCTGCTGCTGTTGTCTTGCAGGTTAACGGGACCCTTGTCACACATTCTAACCACACAGAAGTAGTGAAACTTATCAAATGTTAGTTCCTCTGGACACATTTTTACAACAAAAAAAAAAAACAAAGAAAAAACACATTTATAAACAGAATAAAGCTGAAGATGAGATTGTGTAATTTGTCTGTCTTGCTGTTCTAGCGGGCTCCTACGTGGCGCTCACGGTTTTGGGGCGCCCCCCAGGCCTAGCCCAGATCCCGTTGCCTGAAGCAGAGCCTGACATCTTGGGTGTTAGCTTATCCTCTCCAAACTCTCCAGCAACAGAGCGCCCCTACAGTCCTCAGGACCGCCTCTCCCCTTTCCAACCATCATGGGTACGAAATATATCTAATTTATTATCACTCTGTTACCTCACTGACAAAAAATTATCTGCAGATTCTGCATCTATATCCAATCGCTCAGTTATAACGCAGCATCACTATTGATGCGTTAAATCTTTAGAATGTTTGTCATGTCTGCCTTTGTGTGTTCCTCACGTAAACCTATAGCACTGGTTGCACTGAGTAAGCAGAATTAGGCTAATCGATTACCACCTTTTCCACCCTCAGGAAGAAAACGGCAGTGCGTGCAAACAGAGGACTGACGTCTTGCAAAAGAAGCTCTCCAAAGAGCAGCAGGATCTACAGGTTTGCATAATAATGGCTGTTTTCTACTGTGTTTTACATTAAAACTTGGCGTCTCCTTGGTAATGAGCTGCTCTACTTGACGTTTAGCTCCATTTGTGTATAAAGCCTCTATTAGAAATGTCGCAACCTAACAATTTCTCAATATTACTTGTTCTACGTCCATTCAAGTGGAACGAGAACCTCGAGCGTAGAGCCAAAGCATTTGTATGTGCTCGGATGGCCTAGTCAAAGTCTATGTCTGAATCCACTTGTATAGAGTTACAACAGTGTGTTCATGGACAGTGTGACCATGAACACACTTTCTGTGTGTTCATGGTCACAGACAGTATCCATTCAGTCTGAGTGAGTTTGAGCAAAAAAAAAAAAAAAATGACTGAAGTTTGAAGAGACGCATGTGTGAGACCGGAAGCTGGAGTTGCAGGAAAATGTGGTTCTGCAGAACCGTGACTCATGAAACTCATGAAACCTGCCTTTTGTTTTGATTGCTCTCGTCACGTCGTCTAGGCGATGAAAGAGGAGTACAGCAGGAACCCCTCCCCCAAACTACTGAAGGACATCCAGGAAGCTAAAAAACACATTCCTCAGCTGCAGGGTCAGCTCTTAAAATCCACTGAAACAACACAGGTACCGGCTTTCATATTTGGCCCAGAAAACAGGAAATCTACTGATTGCATTGTATTTATTGTAGCACATTCGGGGATCATTCCAGACATCCTAATCTCATCAAAGGATTAAGCTTCCTCTGTGGGAAGCCACTCTTTTGTGTCTGCATGGCAGAGAGTTTTGCGTCTCTCGTGCTATTTAAAGCTGTTTCTGGATGCTGCATGCCAGTTACATTTCATTAAACCAGATTCGGGAAATGTAATAAACCTCACCATTTTACTCATTAGATTTCTCACATTGACGTGTTACACTCTTTGGATGGTGACCAGCTTTTTACTGTTGAAAACTGTAACAAGTCTCGCATGGATCTGCAGGAGGCTGTTTCAGGTGGCGATGCAGACGACAGTAGCACGTACGAGACGGACCGCGCGCACACCCCTAAAGCAGACAGTAGCACAGATCTGTCCTGGAGCAGCACTCCCGTGAGTACCGACTTTCATTCACGGTGCTTAAAACGCTCGTCATATTTACAGAGTAATTTAAATGCATGCATCGACTTTTCTTTCACGTGCTGGTCTGACAGAAAACGGATAAAATGTGTTATTGGAGGGGTGGCTATTATGTAAAATCAATTGTTTGAGCTTTATATTATGCTCTAAGCATAATGTAATTGTCTTTAAGACACTTAAAAAGACAAGAGGCCAATTTCAAGGCATCAAATTAGTCAGATTTCTATTTTTAGCCATGTTTGATTTATGCAACATGCCTGGAAGATGCAAAATACTGCAACTTCAACCAGTTGCATTATTTTTGCAACTGTATTATTTCTGTGTTTTATTATTCCTTCAGTAAATACGGATGGCTTAAAAACGCTTCATTATTTTCCATCTTGTTTCCAGATATTTAGACCAGCGACTCCAGAAAGCCATTGTCCAAAAGAGCTCTCCTACCCCAGCCCAAAGAGCACACCCCGAAACAGCTTCAACTCCTGCCACTCCCCGGAGACGGAGGACACCACTGACCTGGTGACTGAACTGTTCACTAATCCGTACACATACAGTTAGTCTGCTTTACTTGTTTACAAAACAGTCTTGATTTGTTTTAGGGACCTTATTTGATGAGGTTCACCCAACTAGCTGTAGATTTCAGGTGAAATCAAGTTTGAATGTAGCTCTTTACTTTCATTGTTCCACCAACTTTTGGCCATGTGCTGCACCCCTTGCCAAAAAGCTGGATCCTCAGCATGATCCTCATCCCGCTGGAAACCTTACCAAATCCTTTCAAAACTGTAGTCAGATAGACCAGCTTTCGTCTCATCCGACCTTAAAACTGTCCTCCTGAAGGCATTTGGCCTGTCCGTGTGGACTACTGCAAACTTAATGTGTTGATTTTTGAGCTGCATTTTTTATTTTATTTTTTTTTTCCTCAGTTGTCACCCTACAGCTTTAGGTTCGTGGTGTCTGGCTTCACTGAAGGCAGTGACTGGTGTTTTTAGCAGGCTCTAGTTCATGACAGGCCTGTGATTCCTGGTTGTTTTTGAACAATGTCCTTTTGTGTTAGTTGGACAGTTTGCGTCAGATGTTTGTAACTTGGACACAATCAGNTAGACCCTCATGGAGCGCTGAGTCGTACGTTATGTCACCGCTATCTTGTATGTGGTGTTCTATCAGATAGCCATACATGTCAGAATAGCATACATATGGTAAGAGCGCATGCGCACGCATGCGCATTCTGCAGGAGGTCCGCGATATTGAGAGGAGTCGTCAGCTTGTCATACACGAGAAGAGACACAATAAAAAGTAAGTAAATAAATTAAATTTAATGCTGCTGCAGCTGCAGTAAACTACAAAACACGCCCTGTTTAAATTCACGTCCCCCAGTTCCTTGATATTTTTGGGTTGGATAACATGTCTGCTAGCTTGGATAGCATGTCGTGTATGTGATATGTTAACCTGAAAAGCCTTCATGTTCCGGAGTAAGACAGGGAAGTATACTGTCCTCTCACCTTTTTAACATCTACATAGATGAACTTAATGTTGGCATCCACCGTTACCAACATTAAATGAATCAGACGTATGAAAACGCAATTTTTACCCACGCTGAAACTGGGGCAAAACCAGTGTTTCACTTTTGAAACAAATCCTTATCTTCATTAATGTATATGAAAAGCGTTCATGTTAATTTTGTTTTTATATGTGCTTTACATTTACACATATTTAGTTTATGCAAATTGAGGTTGTTTTTGGAACATGAAGGCTTTTCAGGTTAACAGATCACATACACGAGTACAGCCACCTGGGTTATGTATTAGTCACTGTCAGTGTGACTTTTGCCTCAATTAATAAAAGACAGGAGATGTTCTTGAGTCACTTGAAGTCCCTGTGTTCACCAGGCGTTGCCAGGAAGGACATGGCATCCACCAGTGTTGTCAATAAAAAATTGGGATCTCTCAATTGCATTTAAACTCCCTGTTGTGTTTTCTGCAGTATTTCAAGAATTGCATTGTTGGATGCACATGCATAAATATGTTGATTACAAGGTTTTTTTGTATTAAATCGGAATAAAAAAGGATGGATATGAAGAAGCTTTCACTACAAACTTTTTTTTATTTATTTTAATTTTGTATTTCTTGTCCTAAGAGCTGATATTTCACAGAAATGTCATATTATTGCAGCACCAGTTGGCGTGTTTAGTAGCAGGAGTAGGTGTGTTTTGTTGTGTACGCAGTTGCAGCAGGGTATTATTATATATTTGAACAATTTGCAGTGTCTAATGAATTGTCTTGTTTAAATGCTTGTTGATGCAATTTACATGTTTTCTTGTGCCAACACAAACACTACAGTCTTCCAGATTAGTAGGAATGAGTAATCTGAAAATAACAGGTGAGACTGAGTTATCCCACAGTCTACCTGTCAGTGACACACAGTTATAAAGGCTGAAGTGAAAAATGTTGTTGGAAAGACTTGCTTAAGGGGGTGTGTCTGAAAGACTTTCAGCTTGGTATATACATAGAATCCAACTTCAAAGTTATCACATGCAGCTGTGATTTCAAGTCTAGTTTCTTTTAATTTCAGTTTTTTAACTTAACACCATTTTTATAACTACAGAGGCATTGGTGATTTTGGCTGGTAATTGCACTGTGTACCTGGAAAATACTTAATTCCTCCTCTACATCAGACATTCTGAACTTTCTTAATACAAAGTTTGATGTCTTGTTAGTTATATTTTGAATGTAAATGTGTTTGTGTTTTTACAATACAGTTGTCTTCTGTAGTCCTACCAGAGGACTACAGCCAAATTATTAAAGACAGAGACAACAGACAGGGGGACACAAAGATCCAGGTGGAAGAGAATGTCGAACTGGCTCAAAAAAAAATGAAAAAAGCTTTTGCAAACCGGGCACAAAAAAAATTCAAAAATTTAAAGTTCACAGAAGGGGAGGAAGTTCTTCTATTCAACATAAGAAAAAGGGGTAGGAAAGGTGCCAGGATGGAGGCAGACTACTCTGGACCTTATTTTATCCATAAAGTGATAGGGAGCACTGTGATGTTGAAAACAATGGCCAGAAAAGTCCTCAAGACAAAGCATAGCATGAGTCGTCTGAAGCCATATAACAGAGGCAATGAGGGACAAAATGCAGGTGAGGGTTTCATCTCAGGTGAGAAGTTGAATGAAAGGGAGACAGTGATTAGGTACGCAGGCAAAGCAGAAACCCCACTGCAGACCAAGACAGACGGTCAGGTCCATGGCAAGGTCATCCAGTGCTTTTCCCTGTTGTCTCCCTCTCGTCCTCAATCTCCCCCTGCCAAGTTCTCTCGGTTGTCTCCCCCTAACCCTCCAGTGAAGTCTCCCCCTCCAGTGACCTCTCCCTCTCCCCCTCCAGTGAAATCTCCCCCTCCAGTGACCTCTCCCTCTAACCCTACCAAGTTGTCTCAGTTGTCTCCCTCAGCTCATTCTAGGATGTGTCAGAGTCCTATTCAGCAGCAAGGTGCAGTAGTCACAAAGTTTTCTAGTTTTCTGTTCTGGCCTGTTGGTCTTGGGTTCTGATCGGTAGATCAATTTTTGCATGTTGGTTCAATGACCTGTTCCTGGTCTTGTCTGCAAAACTTCCTCTGAAGTTGTGTTGCTTTTTTCAGATGTATAAGTTTTTAAAAGAGCAATTTCTGTTTTTGTTGCAGTAGTTCAGCTTTGGTCTTTGAAAGACTCAGGGCAAGTTGAAGCCCTTGTTGGCCCATATAAATTGTATGACATCTTTTAGAACACTCTGTGGACATGGCTGGCTGTCAGATGAAGTAAGACTCCATGTTCTGGGAAGTTTATATTTTCACAAGGCAGTCCATCCAGAAATTTATGTTTTGTTTTTTTTGTTTTGTTTTTTTTGTCAAACAGGTTATAGATGCATATTTGTATGTGACACTTCAGAAGACCAAGGTACAACATGTTTTAAGGTTAAATTTAATCCACTCTTTGTAGTTTCACATATTTCTTTGAAATTATATTACATTTCAGATACCTGTATACAGAATGGATGCAGTAATTGCATCTTCTGTATTTCATCTTGGGCAATATCGGGCTGTTCAAAAGGTAATTATTCACTGTTAAATCATCTTAAGAGAATGAATGCAGATTAATCTTATTATTTGCAATTTCAAAAGATGGTTTTACCTGAAGCCTCCATTTGGATGTGCCCTGTAAATGTGGGAGGTCACTGGCTTTTGGTGGTATGTAAAATTTATTTATTTAACTTTATTTACACATGAATATGTCTATATGTCACAATCGGATGTTCCCTGGGCAGCATGGGAGGGTGACAGAGGTTGTCTGTCTGTCTGTCTGTCTTATCTATCTTCCAAACATTCCAACAGATTGTCGTGATGAATCACCAAGAGCTAGTAGTTATAGACCCTATGGGGAACGAAACAATGTATGACAGAAAGCTTCTCCGTAACTGGAGGTGATCTGATTCATGTCTTTATCATTCAGTCATTATGTATTTTCTTATTGTTACAATGTCCTATAATTGAATATTTCTGCAAATGCACAGAAACTTCCTAAAAGCAAAAGGTGCTGGCCGGAGAAGCTGGAGTGTCCGCCATATGCCGCATATGCTGCAGAAGGACTCCAGCAGTTGTGGGGTCTTGGTTTTGAAGGTACAAAGAACAGATGGAATGTTTTGAAATCCATGGAATTATTACATTAAAATGCATAATTTTTTCAGTTTGCAGAAACATATGTTCAAATGGGAGGGCTGCAGTCAGTGCAAACAGGACCCAAAGACATATCCCAAGCCAGACTGCACATCGCTACCACACTGTATCAACATCGAGGTGAAAGAACAATTACAAAGAAGTCTTGTTTTCTAGTTTGCTGGCTGAATGTTTGGAGATTTATAGCTTTGGACAGCTATGATTCTAAGAAGTTTTTGGTCGGAACATAAAAAATTATATTAATGTTGGGTATGAAGAACCAGTTCCGCTGTTCAGAGAACTGTGGAAGTCTGTGTGAAACCTGTGGATCAGTTTTTGTTAATATTCTAACAGTCAAAACCACAAGATGGCTTATCGCAGAATCACAGAATATTTCATTCCAAACAGAACAAATTTTCCTATAGGCCATGCTGGAACAGTCCAAAGCATTAAAAAAATCCAAAGATATATGAAATACTAAATTGCAGTATTTTCTGTTATGTACTAGTAGAACATGATGGCTTGTCAACAGAATATAAAGAGGTAGTACTTGACTATCTTGGTAAAGTACACTCTAAATGCCTTTATTTGTTCCCAGACAAGGTGGAAGAGTACTGTGTGGAATGCCACATGCTTCACTATAATGCTACAGAGAAAATCATTGACATGGTAAACAAACTAAAATTTAAATGCTTCAAACACATTACACTTGCTAATTCATAGCCGTTTTGTTTTTCTGTCCATTCACAGATACAGTGTGACTGTTCAAGGTGGATGCACAAAGAATGTGCCACAGACATGGATGACATGATCAAATGTAAAAAGTGCAACTTAAATTAAAAAGTTTAATATTCTACATTAAATATATTACATCATACAACTGATGCCATTGGTATTAATCAAGAAGTCATTCAGTCGCTAATAACCAGTGGTGGAGAAAGTACTCAAAAATGTACTTAAGTATTAAAAGTAAAAGTACTTGCTGAATGCATTACCTAATCGCTAATATCATGAAGTGAACCAATCGCATTTAATTTTAATACATTAGAAATGTGCCATTTTAATGAACAATGCCACAGATAAAGCATGCTTTATTTGTGTGTTTACTCTGTAACATAGTTTAGTCTTAGATATGTGATTCTATGCATCATAATTTCAGGGATGGAAACATCTTGTCTCCTGTCCTAACATAGCATGAACTTCACTTTTTTTGCCACTAGTGGCTTTTATTTTGAAAGAAATCCAACAGAAAGGGGATGGAAAGAAGGTGGGTGGGGGAGACATGCAACCAAGGAGCCAGTAGCAGAGTTGTAGTCAAGACCACCTACCCAAGACCAAGTCAAGACACAGCACCCCGCGCTGTGACACAATAAAATTAAGTTTTACCTATCAAAATTGCTTCTCAAATTGATCTGAAAGATCCACATTCCCATAAAACACCTAGATATTAAATACTTAGTGCCGAAATAAATTTAATCAGTAAAGATCCGTCCAGAAGAATCGGATCGTTCCTGAATGTCATATCAATGCAGACTTTGGTCACAGCGTTGTCCCATACTTGCGACACCTCAGTCAACACCTCCACACAATAATTCAGCGCATGAATGACAACTTTTTTTCATCGCAGATGCAACATGTGTGTCTCTGTACAGCTAGCTTTGCTAGCATCATGTCCACGGATCTTACCTTTCTTTAAGCTTTCCTTCCAAGTGACGCTAAAAGTTGAACTAAGTCCCCACCGTCTATGAAAGCGAAGCGCTGCTTATTTTACATGTCGCCATATCTTATGATTTTTGCAGAGCTATTATATTACTGACGATCAGACAGACATCTTCTCCCGCTCAGAGGAAACCACTGCGCATGTCTGGAGCTCCGCGTGCGAGTAAAGGGGGAGGCGATGGGTGACAACAGACAGTAAGTCACGTTATTGCTTGGATTTTACGGCGCCACCTTAAGACCCTGAACTTCACATTTAACGGAAA